ATGTCCTGTCTGTACTGTACTAAGCTGTTGCTCTCTCTTCAGGTGCTCTCAGCAGTATATAAGGCCCTCAATGATCACCATGTCTACCTGGAAGGAACCCTGCTGAAGCCCAACATGGTGACCGCTGGCCACTCCTGCTCCAAGAAGTACACGCCCCAGGAAGTCGCCTTGGCAACTGTGACGGCACTGCGCCGCACAGTGCCAGCTGCTGTGCCTGGTCAGTCGCGGTCCCTGATGTACTGTGTACATGCACCCTGACACTGATGCGCCAAGATGAATCCCACAGACAGAGCGTTATGAGGAGTGCGAATCCTTAGGGAGAGTGTCTCGATGCCCACACTCTACACACTGATACTCGCTGATTTAGTGTTCTAGCACTGCATCTCCAGCACACACGCTGATACAGGGATAAACTGCAGAGACAAACAGACACGCTTATCTGCATTCTGACCTAGTGATGCGTCTCCCTCCCTCTCTACAGGAATCTGCTTCCTCTCTGGGGGGCAGAGTGAAGAGGAGGCCTCCCTGAACCTCAACGCCATGAACCAGTGCTCCCTGCCCCGGCCCTGGAAGCTGACCTTCTCGTACGGCCGGGCTCTGCAGGCCTCGGCCCTCTCAGCCTGGGGAGGGAAGCCAGGCAACAAGCAAGCTGCCCAGACGGCCTTCTGCACCCGCGCCAAGGTGGGGTCTGAGAGTGGTGCTGGCTTTACTCTGCATGCCTGTTTGTTCTTGGGGGAGCGGGGCGCTGGGGTCAGACTGCCTCTTGAAGGTCACAGCCCCGGGGAGAGGACTGAAAGGGTTCTTTGTCCTCGCCTCTGCTGGATCAGGGAAAGATGGCAATTTCTGGCACAGGGGTGAGATGTTCCTCAAAATTTTGCTCTTGATTATTTTGCTGTTCAGGTAAAAACATTTAAAACACCTTTTCTTCCTTCCAACTAAATCAAGTCAAATTCTGTATCTTAGTTGTCCTAACCAAAGAGTCTGAAACCTACAAATGAGCTGAAGGTTTCCTTGCCTGGTATGTGACAGCATCTTCAGTTTTAGTTGTCCAGCTCATCTCTAACCCCATTAGCAGGAAGTGCTGTTAAATCGCACTGTCAGCTTCTTTTTCTCAGACACCTGTTCTGAGATCACATTGTCTTTCTTCTCTGCAGATCAACGGCCTGGCAGCCAAAGGAGAGTACAAGCCCAGTGGACAGGCTGACCAGTCTGCTACACAGTCTCTCTATACAGCCAGCTATGTCTACTAGACTACACTGAGAAATGTGCACTCTCACTGCACAGCTACACGTCACCCCAACATTATAACAAACATGTTTGCTGGGTATAATAACAAACACTGTCATGGTAGACAGATGAGTGGAGCAGAAGCACACTGACACAGGCACACAACTGGTCATTTCTTTAAGGTATACTGACGCTCTCGGAGACACTGGACCAGAAGAAGGCTCACACTGCACAGCCAGCCAAATCTGTTAGGTATGCTGACACACATAATCCTGTACACAGACAGACGGCTCTACCAGACATGCACTAACACAAGCACACAGCTACCCATATCCTTTAGAGAAAGTAGCACACTTTGTGCATAGACATACTTTGACTTTGGGACTTTCCTATACTTGGACACTAGCACTCTTCCCCATGACCCCCTGGTGCCACACAGACTTCTGTACAACCTGATCTCTGCTCAAGAACTGTGAACCCTGTTCAGAAAAGGATGCTGCTGGACTTGCCTCTGAAAGACCTGGAATTTATCCATTGTTTAAAGAGTCTGGCCCACCCTTTTCTATTAGTAGCTGGCTGTAAGTCTGCCTGTGCTGTTGTAAGAAAGGAAATAAAGTCACCCTTAAACTGCATATCTGAAATGAGTTGTGTGACCTGTCTTTCCAAATGTTAATATGCACTGTTTGCTGATTGAAACTTCATCATAGTGTGAGCTGATCCAACAGGACTGTCAAACTGGGATGATTCAGTTGCTCCTTTATAGCCGCTCGGAGCGTGATCCATGCGAGTCCGGAGCAGTCGTACTTAAACACTCCTCAGGATGAGAGGACCAGCTCCGCACTTCAAAATGACAAGCTGGGATGTTGTAAGATTGGCCTGGTATGGGATTGCCTGAACAGGAGTGTGACTGACAGTTTTTCTATAGACTGTGTAATAATAATAATTGCTTACACTTATATAGCGCTTTTCTGGACACTCCACTTAAAGCGCTTTACAGGTAATGGGGACTCCCTTCCACCACCACCAATGTGCAGCATCCACCTGGATGATGCGACAGCAGCCATAGTGCGCCAGAACGTTCACCACACATCAGCTATCAGTGGGGAGGAGAGCAGAGTAATGTAGCCAATTCATAGAGGGGAATTATTAGGAGGCCATGATTGATAAGGGCCAATGGGAAATTTGGCCAAGACGCCGGGGTTACACCCCTACTCTTTTCGAGAAACGCCCTGGGATTTTTAACGACCACAGAGAGTCAGGACCTCGGTTTTACGTCTCATCCGAAGGACCGCGCCTGTTTACGGTATAGTGTCCCCGTCACTATACTGGGGCATTAGGACCCACATGGACCACAGGGTGAGCGCCCCCTGCTGGCCCCACTAACACCTCTTCCAGCAGCAACCTTAGTTTTTCCCCAGGAGGTCTCCCATCCAGGTACTGACCAGGCTCACACCTGCTTAGTGTAAACATGGTGAGGGGAGAAAAAATAATGGGTCCTAGGGTATAAGATGGGAAACTGTTTCTAGCTCTCAACAGTACGAGTGTGGTTAGACGTCTGATATTATTGGCTCTTTTTCTCTGGATGTGGAAAATATTTTTTGGGGGGGTGGGGATTGAGAGGAGGGTGGCCCGCTGGCACAGGGGTTAGCATTGTTGCCTTGCAGTTTTCAGTCCTAGGTTCAATTTCAGAGCAGGGGTGCCGGCTGTGTGGCGTTTCTATGCTCTACCTGTGCTTGTGTGGGTTTCCTCCCACAGCCCAAAGCCCTACTGGCAGGCAAGACGCTTTGGGGAAAATTGACCTGGGTGTGAGTGTGTGCCTGTCTGTGAGCACCGTAAGGGACTGGTGTCCTGACCAGGGTGTATCCTGCCTTGCGCCGTTTGCTTTCCAGGACAGGCTGTGATCAGAAAAAGTGATCAGAAAAAGGATAGATTGGAAATGTATTGGAAATATAAGGTATTTAATATTAATAAATAAATTAGAAATACAAATAAAGTAAAAGGAACTGGAAATCAGGTGAATGAGGTACAGGGTACTGTAGAGAATGTACAGGGCATTGGACATGAGAGGAGAAAGGCCAGAAAGGCACCGATGTGCACGACTCTGCTGGTCTCTCTGACAAGGGAGACCAGCAAGCCGCAGCAGGTCCGGGGCTGTCAGTCGTCCGAGGGCACCTGCTCGGCAGTGAACTTCAGGTAGGCCTCCCTGGTGGGGAACTGCTCAGTGAAGCGCGGGTGGAAGAGCTTCAGAACGTTCTGGAAGCCATTCTTTCGGGCCTCGTCCACAGCCGTCCTGCCCCGGACATCCCTCTCCTGAGAGAGACAGAGGACACCACGTCTGATCTAACATTGTGGATTCGCCATTTAACAGAATGCACTAATGAGTGTTATTGAAAGGCAAAAATGACAGTGCACTAATACATACAGCAGACTAGCCACGTGAAATTCCAGGAAGTAACCAAAAGACGGCGATGGCTTCTCCCCAAGGAGCAGGGTTCTCAGGTGGAGCTCTTCATATCCGTCTCTGAAGGCTGCATTATACACTGTTTCACTACACAGCTGTGGTGAACTGCACATGAGTGCTCTTCTATCACTCCTCTGGCTCTCACACTAATAACTGCAGTGCTGCCAGAGCAGCCTGAGTCACACAGAGGTGTTGTCGCCCCCTTCTGGTTCCTCTGTGAAACTATGTGTGGTTAGTTTGCCACAACATGGAACTTGACTGTAATGTGCTAGTACATCAATACAACAGATCATATTCTACTACTCCATGAAGAAAAGGGGTAGTAAATTATATACACTATAAATGGACATAATGATGAGTTGTTAAATACCACATTACTATAGTGACTCTCATACAATGTGTCTGCACTGTAGTAACATCTCTTTTGGTGCAGTGTGCAGTCTTAATGTACTGTAGTCCTGTCTGTTCTGTATTAAGCCGTTTCTCTCTTTAGCTTCTCTCTCTTTAGGTGCTCTCAGTGGTCAGTGGTGTATAAGGCCCAGAGTGATCACCATGTCTCTGCTGTGTCTCACCAGTGGAGTAGCCCCGTAGTCCAGCAGTGTGGCGACCATGACTGGGTCTCTCAGCCTCACTGCCAGGTGCATTGCAGTGCGGTTGTCATAATCGCCCTGGTCCATGTTGGTGCCAGATAGGAACCAGCCATACAGGATCTGATAATCTTTCTTGACCACTGCCCTGAAAGAGAGAGGAGAATTAACTCTGTCATCAACAGAACAGCAACACTAAACTGAGAGAGTATAATGTAGACATTGTGCAGTACAGGTCTACTCACTGTATGAGCTCAATTCCTATCCTGACGGGTGGAATGGAAAGAGTGGCCCCCTTTGTCCTGAGGATCCTGATGATCTCATAGTGCCTGGTGGAGGGCAGATGCACAGTGCAGTACAGAACACGGTAAAGTACTATGGTATCCTAAGGAAAGGTACAGCAGAGAGGAGTACAGACCTGTGCCGTATAGCAAGGTGAAGAGGAGTGTTTCCAAATCGATCCGTCACTGCTGGGCTTGCACCCTTGGCCAAGAGATATTGGACCATGTCTAGTCGGCCTGCTTCACAGGCTTTATGGAGTGGAGTGGTGCCATCATAATCGCCAGAGTCCACATCAATCTACAGAGAGAGAGGGTTTAATACAGTCCAGACACACTTACTGGACACTACAGGACATTAACACTGCACTG